GTCAGAACTTATTAACCAGATGATAGAAAACAGAACTAGAACAGTCAGAACTTATTAACCAGATGATAGAAAACAGAACTAGAACAGTCAGAACTTATTAACCAGATGATAGAAAACAGAACTAGAACAGTCAGAACTTATTAACCAGAGGATAGAAAACAGAAGTAGAACAGTCAGAACTTATTAACCAGAGGATAGAAAACAGAACTAGAACAGTCAGAACTTATTAACCAGAGGATAGAAAACAGAAGTAGAACAGTCAGAACTTATTAACCAGAGGATAGAAAACAGAAGTAGAACAGTCAGAACTTATTAACCAGAGGATAGAAAACAGAACTAGAACAGTCAGAACTTATTAACCAGATGATAATAATCAGCAATGATGGATCATAGCATCTCCACCATGAGGGCGGTTCTGCTTTCAGATCTCTGGATTCTGAAACATGAAGAAAGGGTGAAACTAAAATGTTTTGTTTTGTGGTCTTTGAATGTCTTCATCAGCTCTGGACCTGAACCGGACCTGTTCTGTCTTCGTCTCTCAGGTCCTGCTGACGGATGAGACGGACTCAGAAGATGTGGAGGAGCAGCAGTCCTCGGGTGGAGCACTGAGACCCAGCTGGGTGGCGCTGTAAACGGTTCTGCTGCTGCTGAATGTCCTGATCTGTATCGTGATGATCGTCGGATCTTAAACGCATCACCTGGTCTCGTGTCTCCTGAACTGATCGAGGCTCTGGCCTCTTCTTGTGACTGAATCAGCAGGTTCTCCTCTGGATCTGGAGAACCTCCGGAACCAAAGATCCACCGGGTCTGAAAACGGTTCATAAAACCCTCTGATCCGCAGCAGAACCGTCTGAACGAAGCTGCTTCATGTTTGCACTATTGAACGTTCCTTCACCTTTAAATTAAAGCTGTTCTGGTTCTGGAACAGAATCGTGTTTCTCTAACTTTACCTGCTGGGAACTTTCTGGACCTGCTTGGTTCTTCAGTTCTGGGTCCAGCTGGGCGGGTGAAGCCACACGGCTGCTGCAGATCGTCATCAGATCTAAACCAATCTATGCTTATGTCTTCCTAAACCTTAAAAAGAATTATTAGATTGAAATAAACTTTTTTATCATTGCATTTTATTTCATATTATTTATAATTATTATCTATTGTTTTATGTCTGAGGTACTTTATTTTATTAAGGTTCTTTATACTGAGATCCAGTCTGTGTTCAGTACAGTGGAGAACTTCCTGTTCCTGTCATTTTCTACCTGATTGCATTTTTTAAGAAACCAAATTTTGGAAGGAGTGACGCCGGAGGCAGCTGAGGGTCTGATGATGGCGCCAATTAGCCGCTCTGCTATATAGGCGATCAATACCGGAGCTGTGCTTGGCTGCCCAGTTTCTGAGGGAGAGCAGCCGGAGCACACCTGTGTGGGCGGGGCCTGCAGCCCTGTGACCTGCAGCTGATGACAGGGGAGCTGTGAGGAAGACCAGGCTGGGTAGTGAATCCTGTGATAAACAGGTGTGTGTTTGGAGGGGGGGGGTTTCATTCCTCAGAAGCAGGCCTGGATTTAAACTCTTTATTCATTTTAACATGTAGAGTAATAAACATTAGATAAAAAAAACATATTTCATTAGAAATTGTAAAAAATTCTGTAGCGACTTGCAGCCATTAACTTCTATTCTGCTAAATAGAAAGTAAAATAAAAAAATATTCATTAATGCCCTGCTGGGGGAGGTAATTTTCAGGTGTTTCTGGTTCCCACAGGCCAGGCTTCTGTATCAAACATGTGGGAAGCCACATAGTCCTCGTACCGTCCGTCTATCAGCTTCTCTGCGTTGTGTCGGGCAAACCAGCAGTCCACATTCTGCTTCCCGCCATTGATCCTCCTGCTTTTAGGAACCACCGGCACTGATCGGTCCTTGACCTCCAGAAACACAGAGGGGGGGTCGTCGCGGTGGGCTGGACGCTGCTCCACTCCCACTTCCTCATGCAGGAACTGACCTGGTATTGGGGGCAAATAGAAGTTGTTTTAATCTCAGGGTTTATGTTCCTGCAGCTTTATGATTTTTCTAACAAAACTGAAATGATTCTTAGTTTCTACTGTTATTTACTTATGAGGAAAGTCGGTCATAGGAAGCAACTTACAGTCTTGCTGCAGTTTTGCTTCCGCAAGACTGGATTTTATTAAACATTTCAATGAGAAAATATCTTAGCTGATAGATGGACATCCATTTAATATAAATGATCAATCGGTTCTGGAGGATGAAAATAACAGGTTTTATAAACAGGCTAATGTTAAAGATGGTGACACATTATAGATAGACGTAGATGCCTTATTAAACGCTGGCCGACATGCTTGGAGGGCGGCCATCTTGGATCGGTCCACATTTCAGATAGCTGCTGTCAGAATGAATAGGGGGCGCCTTAGATCTCAATTTAATCCCATGAAAGACGAGTCAGAGATAACATTACAATAATCTCTTATATGTCACAACCCCTTAAAGGAATAGTACACCCAAAACATGATTAGCCTTCATTTTCTACTCACCCCCATGCTGACCAACACTCTGGAGTACTTTTTTGATATCTCAGATGCATCTGGAGATCTGGGAGGCTTCTTGCTGTCTGCTGACATTCAAATAAAGGAGGTCTGTGGCGCCCGAGGCAGAAAGGTCCATAAAAGTCCACAAAAAACGTGTCAATATTCCTCCATACTGCTCGTCCAATGTATTCCAAGTGTCCTGAGTGGGTAGCGTCCAGAATTTACTCGAAACGAAGTCATTTAGAATGTTTTTAGAGCATAAACAGTAGTGTATAGGATTTCCTAAAAGCGCACACATGCGAGTTCACGAGGCTACGGAAGCCGGCAGACCAAACCAGATGAAAGTGCGCATTCAGCGTCTGCTCTGCCGATAATGCAAGCGTAGAAGAAGAAATGTGCTGTTTACCTGTGCAAAGAAAGAAACAACGAAAGAAATATGTCTGAGGACTTCAGTGTTGAGGAAGAGCATGAGTTCTTTGCCGAGCTGAATGCGCACTTTCATCTGGTTTGGTCTGCCGCGGTTTCCGTAGCGCCGTGAACGCGCTTTCAGGAAATCCTATACACTACTGTTTATGCTCTAAAAACATTCTAAATGACTTCGTTTCGAGTAAATTCTGGATGCTACCCACTCAGGACACTTGGAATACATTGGACGAGCAGTATGGAGGAATATTGACACGTTTTTTGTGGACTTTTATGGACCTTTCTGCCTCGGGCACCGTAGACCTCCATTATTTGAATGTCAGCAGACAGCAAGAAGCCTCCCAGATCTCCAGATGCATTTGAGATATCAAAAAAGTACTCCAGAGTGTTGTTCAGCATGGGGGTGAGTAGAAAATGAAGGCTAATCATGTTTTGGGTGTACTATTCCTTTAAAAGACCAAAACAAATGTTAAAATTACATTTATGTTCAATTAAACATATTTATTCAGATTAAAAACTATTTAAACTGAACTCAAACTGGATGAGATAAATGCAAAGTTATATATTTTGCAAATGAATATTAATATGTTAACACAAATTTTTATATTAATTTAGGATTTATGTTTAACCATCTTGAAAAGATTGAGTTTTTAAGGTTGGGAAAGATGGCTAGACTCTCTCCAGCACTACCATCCATGTTTACTTCTGTAAACACAGAGAATGCTTGCTTGTGATGTCATTACGTCCTTTACTGCACATACTGGAAACATGCGTTGTGTGTATTAAGAATGAATAAAACGGCAACGCAAAAAGATCGGAATGAACTTAGACTTAAAGAACTGAGCTGCAGCCGTATGATTGGCTGGTTCCCACTGGAGGAAGAGGGCGGTTCTTTGCTGCTACGTACCTAGCAGACCATGGCAGTTGTGTGAAAGCCCCGTGCTGTTGGCGATGTAGAACCCCAGGTGGTCTTTCTGGTAGAGGGCGGGGTTTTTATACTGATGCAGCAAGATGACGAAGCTGATGTTTCCTCCCACCGTCACCGTCACATTAGAGCTTGCTGATATAGCTACAGACAGCGCCCCGCTGTCCACGGCCACCGTGGTGTGACAGGGCAGGACCAAGCGGTCCCGGCCGTCCAGGATCACCTTCTTTGGCGTCACTTCAATATAGGCGCGTCTCGGATGGTCCACCACAACCAAGATGCTGCTGAAGTATGTCCGCTGCTGCTTGTGGCTCCCCGGTGGAGCCGGAGCGCCTGTTAGCTTACCGTTAACTGTCACACCTAAACACACAGAAACAGTCACCGACATATCCACCCAGAAATGGAACCAAACATGGAGAATCAGCATTTAGTTCCTATGCTTCACTGATCTGCAACAAACTCCCAAAAGACTGTCAAATTGATCAAAGCCTTTTCTTTGAAGTTAAAGTTTAAAAGAAATTTGTTTAGAGCTGCCTTTGATTGTTGAAGTTAAACTATTAACTGTTTAAGTTTATTAGTTTAAGGTTCTGGCCCAAATGTTTGATTTCTTTTGCTACCCGTTTTTATCATGGTTTTATCTTAATTTGCTTTTATTTTCATTCTATTTTATTGTTTAATTCAAGTAAAGTAAACTTTTAAGGCTAGGCTTAAAACTTTCCTTTTTGATAAAGCTTATAATTAGAGTGGCTCAGGTTATCCTGAGCTATCTCTATAGTTATGCTGCTATAGGCTTAGACTGCTGGAGGACATAGGGACCCCTTTTTCATCATTCTGCTTCATTCTATCTCTATTCTCCCACTCTGCAGAATCTGTTAGTTCAATCTCTAACGTTATAGTAGCTTCGTCTCATCTGTTCCTGTTTGGCTGTGACTCCATCCTGGAGAGAAATATCAGCTGTGCTGCTGCCATCAACACCTTTGTTTCTAGATGTTGGAGATCGGCCTGTTTTCCAGTGTAGTCCTGTTTCTCTGACTGTGACTGGATGTGCTCTCTTCATCCTCTGGCTCGGAGCTCGTCTACCTGGCTGTGATTTTCCTGGATGGGGCCGCCTTTTACAGCTGCTTTTTCTATCTCTGCTTCTGTCTCCTTGAACCCCAGTGGGCCTCAGCAGATGGCCGCTCACACTGAGCCTGGTTCTGCTGGAGGTTTCTAAAGGTTAAAAGGGAGTATTTCCTCTCCACTGTCGCTACAAGCATGCTTAGTGTGAGGGATTGCTGAAGAGTCAATGAGTCGATCCAATCAACTGGTTTTCCTTAGATAGAAAACTTTGAATCAATCTGACTGGATGATCTGGTAAACTATAAAGTGCCTTGAGATGACATGCGATGTGAATTGGTGCTATAGAAATAAACTGAATTAAATAGAATTAAAACAGTCTTTTTACTGAACTGTGCCATAGAAGTATACATATTCCCTTGAAATGCCAATGCATCACTTTTTAAACCCCTGGAGCTTGATACAGCCCTCCGTATCGTAGATGAAGGGGTCTAACCTAACCCACTTGGACTCATCTCATGGAAGACAAACATCAATGCTTGGGTAGAATAAAAAAAGAGGCATAAACCAATGAAACAGAAGTTTAAAAACTTGTTTTTCCCTGATGTCTTTCCATCCACCTGTCTTCTAAAGTGAGTCCTAAAACATCAGAGGCTCAGAAAAAACATTTCCTCCAGGTATGGATATTGAGGTTTCTGTTCTCGTTAGCAGGTTAATGAGGCTCACCTGAATATTTGTGGTCAGAAACCAGACGGAGGACATCCCCCGGCTCGCCATTGATGTTAAAGCACACGGTTAGGTTATTGAGAGGAAACTCCACCACAAAGTGAGGGTCACCATCAGCTAGGAGAAAGCAGCAGAAAGTTGAGCTTGACCCAGTAAACCTGCTCAGTCTGATACATGTTAGACAGGACTTTCAGCAAGGATTGGAATCCCTGAATCAGACATTTCAAATGTTTGGACATGCAGACCAGATAATATGGATTATATGGTAAATTTCCACTTAGCTGGTCTCCCATTACGGTTATGTTATCAAATGGATTTAAGTCTCTAAATGATTAATGGGAATCCTTCTGTTTCCATGGTGTTTTTAATAATCACCTGTTACAGCGTTTTTTACAGGATAGTAAGAGGTGCTAAATGTTTCACCACTCCTCAAATACACAGTGCCATGCCAAAGTATTCAAACACTTTACTACATTTCAGGCTTAAAAAAATAAAGACATGAAATTGTAATTCTTTGCGAAGAATCAAAAACAAGTGGGACACACTCATGAAGTGGAACGAAATGTACTGGATACTTTAAACTTTTTTTAACAAATAAAAAACGAAATAGTGGGGCGTGCAAAATGAATCAGCTCCTTTACTTTCAGAGCAGAAAACTCTCCAGAAGATAAATACAATCCACCTGTTTGTACTCAGGTCTCTGTATAAATGCATTTGCTCTGTAATCGTCTCAGAGGTCTGTTTAAAGCGCAGAGAGAATCATGAAGAACAAGGGCAAATATTTAAATCTGTCGATGTGCAGAACTGGATGATACAAATCCAAAGCAACTTGTCCCACATGTTGTTGATTCTTCACAAAAAATTATAATTTTACATCTTTATGTTAGAAGCATGAAACGTGGCAAACTGTCAAAAGGTTCAAGAATGCTGAATATTTTAGCAAATGCTTTAGCAGGAAACTCTTTGTTCCATTAATGCTGAATTTACTGTTTCTTTTAACTCTAAAATCTGTATAAAATGATTTTATTCAGGCGGGACCTGAGATGACGGTAATAGACTGGATTCGTTCTGCTGAACTGCTGTTTGCAAAGCGCAGCGTTAGACCTGCCCATTATGTTGAAAATAAGCTGAACTGAAATGAACTAAAAAATGAATGAAACATTTAAGTTTTTGAAGTTCAATAGAAATCATCACTGGTTCTCCTCAGCTGACTCCATTAGGGAGCAGCAGAACATCTTCACTGCATCACAGACAAAAGCTTTGAATGCGTTAGAAAGGTTAAGTCAAGTCATATTGTTGTTTTCTAGTGGTGGTAAAGACAGCTCTGGGATGACGGTTTGAAAACCACTTCCATGTTTCACACAGCTGATATCAACTGACAGCAGATCACCAGCCATTCTTTTTGCAGGTAAAAAGCATATTAAAATCCCCAAATAAGACTAATAATTAAGAAGAATTGATTTAACACTAATTAACTTTCATGATGTTTATGTCAAAAGCTGATCACAGGAAAGCAACTCTGGGAAAGAAAATTACCTAAATAAAATGAAGGGAGGAAAAAACATGAATGCTGGAATAAAATGGCAGACAACAGGCGGTGTCTTTATGAGACAAAAATAGGAACAGATACAATAAAAATTCAATAACAAGGATAAATATCAATTTATTTTAATTTGGCTGATAGTGTTTTCACATTCATTTCTTGTATTGTGACTGTTTTATAGATTGATTGGGGTGAATTTGTTCTGTGGACAGATATATTATTTAAATAGTTTTGATCAAGGGTTAGCATTAAGGGCCTGAGCCGTCAACACAGTATGCTACAGTAGCAGCCATTCAAAATGGCCCTTCTACGGAAGAGGATTAGGGCCACTGGAGAAAAAAAAGTTAACTGATTTTAAAATTTTATTTCAGTTTAGTAATCTCAGAATTCTGACTTTTTTTTCCCAGAATTCTGACTTTAATTTTAGAATTCTGAGAAAATTCTGAGATTAAAGTCGGAATTCTGGGGAAAAAAGTCAGAATTCTGGGGTGGGGGGTGGGGAGTCGGAATTCTGGGAAAAAAGTCGGAATTCTGGGGGGAAAAGTCGGAATTCTGGGGGAAAAAGTCGGAATTCTGACTTTTTCCGCATACTGAACTGAAATAAAATTTAAAAATCAGTTAATTTTTCTTTTTTTCCCCCAGTGGCCCTAATCCTCTTCCGTACCCTTCCCAGTCAAACGCCAGCCGAATGGAATAGCAGCCTACTTTCCTCCAACTCGCAGCAAAATCCCCTCCAACTTCCAGCCACTGGAGTGACCTCCGCTTGCATATTTTTTTACTCTGACTCCCCCCTTTCACTGAATTACAGGGTCTGACCAGGAGATGGCGCTTCTCTTTACTTCTTAATGTCCACAAATCATGACATAAAGAATATTTTAGTACAAATATGGATGTTTAAAAAGGAATTGAAGGGGGACCAGCCAAGGTCCCATCAAGGAAAGTTGAGTAATTTGTATGGCTGCTACTGTATGTGACTTCAACCCTACCTTAAATCAGCATGTCCATAGAGTAGAAGTTCCTTTAATTTAGATGTTTTGTTCAGAACCTCTGAGCTGTTTTGGATCCAGCTAAAAGGACCAATGAGATCACAGAGCAGTGCTAATGACAGGGCTATTAGCTCCCATTGTCTGCCTCTTTTGTAAAACACACAAACATCAAGAATCTCCAAGCAGCACTCAGGGCTTCAATTAGACCTTTTTCAGGTCTCAGAAGGATCACCAGACTACCTAAATTACAGGCCTCCCACAGATTAAGATGCACGGCAGCAGTGCTGTCTTCAGATGAACTCTTCTTGATGCAGTGAAACACGCTGAATGAAGCATGCAGGACTTACCCGATGTTTTAGAGATGGTGATGGACTTCTTCACTGGTCTCCTTTCAACTTTTTCTGCAGAAAATTAAAACAAAGGCAGGGAGGAATAAAGGGTACAAACATATGAGAATATGCACATGATGGTAGATCTACAGAAGAATTAATGAATGAAATCAGATGTCGAAGTTGGATATTTTGTTTTCCTTTTATTAATATTCTTTTCATTGAGATTGGCTGACAAGTTGTGATTTTTAAAAATGACCAAAAAACTGACTTTTTTTTATTCCAATGTTACTCAGAAGAACTCAGAACTCAGAAGTTGATCCCTTACTATTTATTATTTAATCATTTGGATTAATACTGAAAAAACAACCTTCATAACCTGTGAATCCTTCATCTGTGCTCTGTCTGGTCTGGTAGACGAAACCTTTTAATAGTCTAGCTGCAAGGAGGCCAATAGACGCCAGTCTAGTCCAGGGGACAGGATGCCAGTTTGACAAGAACTAAATAATAACCAAGGCTTTTACCAACCTTGATAAACCCCGCTAAAAGAAGTATTAAATATGAAAATAAAAGTGGGCTAAGGATCACACTTTGAGGAACACCGCATGTTCAAGAAGCTACAAAAACCCTCATCAGAGAAACCTCCGACTTTTTAACGGGAGGAAATCAGTTTAACTCAAATCACAGAAGGATGTTTTTAGATTCTAACAAATTAACATCTGATTCTGGAGTGTTTTGTTCATTTTTCACTCTTGCCTAAATAAAAGGAAGGCTTCACTGAAGGATCCTGAACCTGAAACAACTTTCAGTAAAACATGAAGACATTTTTAAGGAGGATTGCTTTTCAAAGTTTGTTTTAATAATACATCTATAGGTTGTCCGAACAGAGAAGTATCTGGGATAATTCACCAGCCTTCCTTTGGGTAAGATTGGATTGTCCTAAAGGTGGAGCTGTTCTCTAATGTTCTCCTCTGTAAATCACTAAGTTTTCTGGATAAAAAAGACGGTTAGTTTGATCTGAGGTTTTCATTAGTTTCAGAAAAAAGGAACCTTGGTGCAAAGCTTCACCTATTTTGTTGCTCAGAGATGAAATCTGGCCCGCCAGCTTCTGGTCCAGCTTCTGTGGCTGTTCATCATCTGTGTCAGCCAGCAGCTCATTGGTTGGTGCGGCAGCCTCATCAGCAGCTGTTGCCATGGTGCCGTCAGCCAGAACCTGGGGCTGCTCCACCACCATTTTGGTGAGCGGAGTGAGGAAGTGGTAGGTCAGAGACAGGTTGGTGGTCTCTTGGGTGTGCTTCTCCCTGTCCCTGCTGGTGTGGCTGCGGAGCCGCGATCGGAGGCCGTCCTTGACGCTCAGGAATCCCAAAACTCGTTCTGTGAAGTTTTCAGCAACCGAAGTCCCCAATTTCTGGGTGACCCATGACCCGAGGCCCCTGGCTCCAGCTTCCACTGCAGCAGTTGCTGCCTTCACGTGTTTCTGCGTTTCTATCTGCAGGCGCCGCAGCGGCACGTCCGTCTCCAGCGTGATGACCCTGTCGTTGTTGGTGGCAGTAACCTGAACATGAAGGGATTCTGCACTGTGGTCTGCCAGCTTTCCAGCCACAACAATCTCGGAGCCGTTGAAGTAGTTGGTGAAAAGATTCTGAGTGACGTAACTGACAGAGTTCTCAGTGTAGTTGATCCTGATGTCGGACAGAAGAGGCGTTCCGATCTCATTGTAGAACCTAGAAAGGAAACCCCACAAACACGCCCGTTTATCTCCGGTTTGTGGGACAGATTATAGTATGAACATAAAGCCTGGTTACAGTTATCTCTGATTCAGATCCATCTACATCAGCAATGTCCAAACTTTGCAAGAAAAAAATTCCATAAAACTCCAGGGTAGTGCTGTCAGGGACAACAAAGTTGAAATGATTATGGATGTAATCTATGTTATTCTTTTTCGTTTTTCCTCTAAGGTTTGCAACATTTGAAAGAAACCGGCAAAGTGACTGATATAGATAAGGGATCAATGGTTCTCTGCTGATCCGCAGCACAAATAAGACAAAATAACCATCCTTTTTACTATTGAATTGCATTAAATCGTCTGGGATCACAAACTGTTTTCACTCCATCCCTGAATCCTGCTTTAGGGCCTCACAAGATCCTCCCAAGGGCCATAAATGGCCCCCTGCCCCAAACTTTGGCTCCCACCTGGCAGGTATCAAGTCACATGGCAGCTGTGCAATGGAAACCCCCCCATATTTATCGTCCTGGCTGGTAAAAATGTTCAAAAACGCCTCAAAATAGACAAAAGTTTAGAAATAAATCCAACTTTGATTTACTTTCTAGATTTTTCTTTACACAGTTTTTATTACCATACATTGTCTCTGTTTCTTTGGGGAGTAAATAAGGTGGGACACAATGGGCAGCCAAGTGTGGGACATCATCTTCTATCAGAGGTCACCAAGCTCTAGAGCAACCATCAGATTCCAACTACAAGCTAAGAACTGTACTTTGGCCAGAAATCTCCGTCAGAGCTGGACTTTGGACTCAACAGCAGCGGATCTTCCAGGAAGGAGGGCTACGATAGGCTGGATGTCCTATCAGAACCGTGTCTTTGCTTCTGGGAATTAGTCCGGTTTCAGCTTATCGACTGGGGAACTCATGGCTAACAGAGGTTAATGTTACAGAGGCTGGATACCACCAGCCAGGACATAGCCATAGGTTCTCCTGATTCTGCAGCATGTTTGTTTGGGGTAGGTAGGTGTGCATGAACCTGTACCATGGAGGGTGTCCTATTGCTGTTTTCACAGCTCAGTAAACCTCCTCAGCTCTTAATAAGCCTGTTTCTTCAAGCCGGACCGGCTCTGTTATCACAGTCTATCCGTTAACCAGTCAGGTTTCACATCCAGACACATTCCTGTGCGGCTGAACAAACACCTCTGAGAATGAGAGGAGGGGCTGAAAGCAGGGGATCAGAGAGACACAGTCTCCTGCTGCAGGTATTATTGTTGTCAGCACCACCATCAGGCTCCCCTTTAGCTTGGTGGGGGATGGATGGCATGTTGGAGGTGGAGCGGAGAGGAAGCGAGGTCAGCTAATTGTCTAATAAAAGGCTCAGCATGCTGAGGGAGCCTCAAATGGATCAGAACACAGTAGATGGATAACTAGCACAGAGATGCCAGGAAGCTATCTAAAGGATATCTCTGCCGTACCCTTTGAGCATAGCGCTGGCATCGGCTTCCTCACTGATGCGTCTCATCATCCCGCAGTTCTCCAGAGACATGCGCTCCAGAAGCCTGTAATCCACATCGTTTCCAATTCCGATGGTGAAGATGCAGAACTTTTCCCCCACAGCGGAGCGAGTGCTTCCCAAGATGAAGGCGGACTCTGTCTCTCCGATCGTAGGCCGCCCATCAGTGAGGAAGATGATGAGGGAGACGCTGTTTGGGCCGGCGGTTGCAGGGTCTGAGAGGTAACCCCGAAGTAGGGAGGAACCGGCCTGGATGGCTCCATCAATGTTTGTCCCTAATAGGGAGGATCTAAAGGTTAATTATCAAACATTGCAGGAGATCTAAACCCCCGCAGAGCCCGAGAATGTATAGATGATGATCTCTCACCCCCGTTGGGTATCAAGGTGTAAATAAACTTCTTGGCATCTCTAATGGTTAGGGGGGTCACTGGGACAAGATGATTCGGCTGCCAAACTTTGATTTTATTGGAGAAGCTGATGAAGTTGAAATGATCAGCAGATCTCAGATCCTTGAGGATGGTGAACAGAGCGTCTTTTGTCTGCAGACATCACAGAAATGCGAGATTACTCTAGATTAGGTTTGTTAGATTACTTTAACAAACCAGAAACAGCACTTTACCTGCCACCACTTTACTGTAAGATACTGTACATGATAAAAGGAAACCTCTCCTTTATGTTGTGTATGTCTGGATGGACTGTATAAACCTTTGTACATCTTCTGTTTGTTTATAAGATCCAATGTCAAAAGTGAATTAATAAAGTTCTAATCTATTCTATGAGCGTTAAGTTTCTTGTCAACTTTATTATCTCTAAGGGATGATTTTGTTGTGTAGACAGCAGTAAAAAACAAAAAAATTACAACCACACAATTAATAAAAGATCACATCACATTGTGGACCTGGAATTAAGTGAAATATTAGCAGCAGGGAAAACGGATGTTAGTTTGTCTCACAATATGATCTGAATTGGGCTTATCATTGTAGGAAATGTTTGTTTCTTGCTCAGATTAATAAAAAGAGTATTTTATGTGTTTTTTTTTTTTACTGAAGATGAGGAATGAAAATGTAACTGTTAGTACTCCAGTCTGTGTGGTCTGTGTTTTTGTGTGTTTGTCTTCCTTCCTCCACCAGGCGGCGCCTAGTTCTGATTCTCCTCCTCACACATCTGCAAGGGGTTTCCTCGTTAACGGAGTGTTCTTAAGCTGCTGACTGCCACTACCTCGATGCCAGAGTGTTTGCCAGTTTTGGGTACTCTAGCCAAGCTGAGTTTTGCTGAGTCAAACTGAGTTTTTGTCAACCTGAGTCTTAAGGTTGTTATTTTTGTTTTTTGCCTCACAGTAGGAAGTCATCCTGCCAACTGGATTTTCGGACCTTCTCTCCCTGGAAGGATTTACTGAGCTTCAAACTGAGCTGGGGATACAAACCGGAGATTTGGATCCACTTTTTCCCCGAGGAATCGTTGGAGTTTCACACTGAGCAAGGGATTCATCTGCACCGCAGTCTGTTCAAGTACCGCAGGAAATCTGAGTGGCAGTCAGTCATCTCCGTTCATCTACAAGCAACCGCATTCTGGGTAACCCTGTCCGCCCTCCACCGTGTGAGACAAACACCGGAACACATTCCTCACCTACTGGAGTCTAAGAGTCAACCAATTCTCTGGAAACGTGAGTCTGCCTACCGTTCCTCCTCTTTAAGTTCGAGAATCAATTTTCCCACTGAACCTGAACTAACCGCAGTGTCTTCCCCTCACCTTTCAGTTCCGGTTGAGCTGTGTTCAGAGCAACATTGGAATCTCCTCAAAACTTCTCAATAAACCTGTTAAACTTTTTCCCTTGTCTCTCTGGATTGGTTTATCTGCAGGTGGGTCCGAGCTCTTGATAAAATCATGACAGTAACATAAACCAAGCTAATCAACAAAAAGTAAGACCGACCATTGGCTGCAGCTGGGATGAGTAAATAGACTCAGATAAAATTAAACAGAATGATTGAAAACTGCTTGTAAGGCACTAATCTGGTTCAGTGGTTCTTTAGGGATCAACAAATGTTTATCTGAAGATATTTTTAGAACTTATTGATGACCTTTAGTTCATATCTTCAGATAGTTAGTTATTGTACGTAGAGTTATATGTTTTTTTTGCTGTTTTATGGTTGTGATTTATGAGCATACACTTCCAGGCTTAGGTCTACTTTTCCACCACTCAGTTTGGAAATATGAAAATTTCTCATTATAAAAATTAAGAGGCAGTAAAAGGAAAACTGAATGAGTCAAGATCTGCATGATCTGAGAATGATGGAGGAATAGAGATAACCACCTGTTCAATGTTCATTTATGAGGTTTTCTTTACTTTTAGCTCCAAATATTGTGGCTATTAGTCTTTTAAGTATTCAATCAGGTGAGATAACAACAATAATAATAATAATCATAAGATTGTATGTATTTGGAAGGGATTTTGATTGTATGATGTCCGTGTTTTAGATTAGTGTAATACTGATAGAAGATGACAGGAAGAAGATTAGAAGACTGGTAGAAAGATTGAATGAGAGAGGAGGAAAATAGGAACACAGATGGAAAGATTATTGGGAGAGAACGAGGAAAAAAAATCTACTAAGAAGACAGCTAGAAAGAAAAGAATGCGGAGAGGGAAGAAGACAGAAAAGACTGAATGACCAGATGACACTAATAAACACTATCGATTAACTAATTTTATTAATCTAGCATGCTTAATGTGAGGGATTGCCTTCGTGTCAATGAGTCGATGCAATAAACTGGTTTTCCTTAGATACAAAACTTTTAATCAATTTGAAGGTATGATCAAGTGAATTGAAAAGTGCCTTGAGATGACGTGTTGTGAAGTAGCTTTATTTTAATAAACTGAAGTGAATTAAATGAACTTATAATGAGAGAAAAAAACTGACAGATGTATGAAAGGTAAAACAAGCTTTACTCTGTGGAATAATATGGTTATAATCTGCACTGACCATAAAACTGGACTGTTACAAAGAAGGTGAAAGGAAATCCCAGCCTGCTCCTTCTCCCTCCCAGCACTCTACTCTGAGTGTGTGTGTGTGTGTGTGTGCGGGGGTGGGGGGGCTCAGCTGAAACCATCCATTGTCAAGCCACACCAAAACACACTTGGTTCTCCTCCCACGCCTCACTCCGGTCTCCTGACTGATGGGAGGGCACATCAAGGGGTTGAGGACGTTGTTGTCCACAAAGTTCCATCACCACATAGATTCTGACCTTCTTCACTCAATGCTCGGCTCTCTGCTGGAATTTTCCACTCTGCCTTGTTGCTTTCAATATGTTTTCCAAGTTTCTGAGCTCTTTTGGGAGCTGCATGAGTCGTATAAAAGAAAGGTTGACGGATTACAAAGACTAGCCTTCCCGGGTGGGAGGGCGGAGCTGTTGTGCAATACATCCTGTCAAGTGCAGCTATTAGAAAAGGCCTCCTATAATCAGATTTCATGAATGACTTCATATCTGCTGCTCTTAATCCAAGATTCTTCTAGTAATTTTACTCAAGTTCTTTCAACAAGAATTTTAGTAAGAAATGATTTCCTCAGCTGACTTTGAAACCAACAGATGTTCAGCGAGCAGCTCATGCTCCACATTTTCATCTTAAACCTGAATTTTATTTAGATGTTTGATTTAGAAAACTACCTGCCAGATCTCTGGGCTGGACCCTGTCTAATGCTTGGACCAAAGGCTGAAAGTCTGAGGGCCAAAATGTTGCAGCTGATATAAAATTGGTTCGATTATCCAGAGTTGGTTTCTTGACTTTATTCCAGTTTTCTCTATCCTGTTCCTTAATTTACTGCTATAGTTATAAAAGATTTCCAGGACAGAGTTTCTGGAAAACTATTCTCTGTGTTGTCAGAGATCCATCTCAGCCTACACTCGTCCTGTTTAGTCTCAGGGGATCTTCTGCTAGACGTCATTCCAAGAAATCAATAGGAACCAGAATGTCAAACAGTTTGTATTTCTCCAATAAACCAAACATCAGCATTAAAGGAGGGTTAGAACTATCCAGGTGTGCCTCCTTACCTGCCTCATCTTCTTCCCCATCATTGAGGCGCTGGTGTCAATCACAAACACAACGTTCTTGGGCACAGCAGGCAGATCTTTGGGAGCAAAGTAGTGGACGAAGTGTCCATTTAAAACCTGGAAACAGAAGAATGCAAAGTGAGGCTGGTTGGAGGCAAAAGGGGCCCTGGAGGAGGGAAACTTGGACATGTATGTAAAATAGAATACGCGTGTTTGACATGGCAGCTGTCACCTGGACGTCACCGATGCCTGCATCTCGTTGGACATCATAGCAGATCACGAAATCTCCCATGATGCCACTGGTGGAGATCTGGGCCTGTTGGATGATGCTGGGGCTGAAGGTGATCCTCCAGACATTCTTCTCGTTCTTTACTGCAGTTGTGATGGGAACCTCAGGTTTGGCTGGACCATAAAGACAGGGAGTGTGTCACAGTTCTGGATTAAAGCAGAACCCTTTAATAAACCAGCTGGTCTGGGCTTTGATGTTCGTCTGGACTGGAGACAGAATCTGTGATTTGTGTCGCTAACTGAGAGAATTACATTTTGCTTCCTGGCGAAGGTAGCACTTCTTGTGTTTCTTTGAACTCTGTGTCCTTATTTTGGTCTGACCTCTGATAGATGTACAATAAGTAGAATGCACTATCTACAAACCTGTCCTCTTTCCATTCTGGAGGGGCAGAACCTCCAGGTCCACGATGGGTACATGGTCAACGACGGTGACGTCCAGGCTGAGGCGGCTTACCAACTGCAGAGGTCTGAGGCTGGTGATGTGTTCGTAGCTTCCCAGCCGCCGCTGTAGAAGCTCTTCATACATCAGCAGGAAAACAGCCTGATTCCGGCCCGGTATGTTAGCCACCGTCCTGAATACCTCCGGCTCTGAGCTGGAGAATTAAAGATTAAGACAAAACATCCCTTATGCTCCATGAAGATTGTCACAACCTCAATTTTCAAATGTTTTTTTATCTACATGAAGATCTCTGAGAAGAATTCCTAGACAATGCTTTGACCTGACAAAGGTAAAGAGCATTTCTGGATCTTGATCATCAACAAGCCTTCAGCTGATCCAAAATGCTGCAGCCAGAGTTTTGATGAAAATGAAAAAGAGAGATCATATCTCTCCTATCCTGCCTTCTCTTCTGCCTTCTCTTTTTGATAAAGCTTATAGTTAGAGTGGCTCAGGTTATCCTGAGCTATCTCTATAGTTATGCTGCTATAGGCTTAGACTGCTGGAGGACATAGGGACCCCTATTTCATCCTTCTGCTTCATTCTATCTCTATTCTCCCACTCTGCAGAATCTGTTAGTTTAATCTCTAACGTTCTGCTCTCTCTGCTTTTTCTCATTGTAGCTTCATCTGGTCTGGTCCTGTTTGGCTGTGACTCCATCCTGGAGAGAAATATCAGCTGTGCTGCTGCCATCAACACCTTTGTTTATAGATGTTTGAGCTCGGTCTGTTTTTCAGTGTAGTCCTGTTTCTCTGACTGTGACTGGATGGATGTGCTCTCTTCATCCTCTGACATGGGAGCTGGCCGTCTTATACAGTTGCCTTTTGTATCTCAGCTTCTGTCTCCTTGAGCATGGGCTTTTGGTTTGGTTGGACAAGGACTGGATAGCCTCTGTTCCTGCACTACCGCCCACAGAAGGCCTGAGGGTCATGTTCGTAGACTTCCTCAGGTCCAGTGAAACAAACACCAACCCGACCTTCTCAGCAAGTCTGCAAGTGTAAAGATCTGGTCCTGTGTCTCCTCCTGGATCAAGATTCTGATTGTTTCCTACAATAAGTCGTCAGAAAGGCTTAGAAACTGGAATACCCTCATACATCCTGTCCCTTGCATCAACAGGGTGCTCCCAGTCATCAGTCATTATACAGAGGAGTGGCAACTACAGTGAACATATAGAAATGTATCCATTCCTGATGCCCTGGGGCTGGAACAAACAAAGAAGACCTAAAGACCAGCTGACCTTACAGAGCTTAGAGCTCCATTATGAAGAAAAGGAGCTTCTTCTCCACGCTCAAAGGACACAGCTAGACTTGGCTTAGCTTTCATTTCATGATGCCTCTTTGGCATCATGCCCATCATGATGCCCCCTCCCATGGATGTATTAGTCTATCCCTCTGGGTAAAGTCCGTGGAAAAGATCCAGAAACTGCTGCGATTGCTTTACATCCCTTGACCTCTGAAAGCGGAAGTTGATGAAGGTTTTAATTTTGAGATTTTAAGATCTGGAATAGAAGCAGAATCCTGATGGGAGGGTTTTCAGTCAGTGGTTCTTGTACTTCCAATCACACCTTGTGTTACACTGCCTATGGGGGTGAAGGCTTTTTACAGCAACTATGGTTTCAAAGCTCCCGCAGATCCTTGGCTGGTCATGGATCATTTGAAAACCTCGAACCAAAGAAGGATTCATTCTGAGGATTGACTTAGGAGGTTTTCATAGTAACAAAGTTGGACTTTACATCCCATTTAAACAGTCCTCACATTGTTTCCATGGCAGCTGGAGCTGATATGATGTCATTTCTTCCATATCTGTCTGTGGGAGTCAGAGGTTTCTGTGATGGCTCGGATCCAAGCAGAATGCCTGCTGACCGTCAAACACATGATTTCTATACTTCTATCGGCTAACCCAGACCCTAACTTTAAACTTAATACAGACCTTAGTCCCAAACCTAACCGCAACCCAGGAGTAGAAGCTCTCCGTGTGGGAACAGATAACTGGTCCCAACAAGTCCTGGGAAATGGGCCACATGCTCCCTAAAACGGGCCATCCAACCATCCACACTCAGCCTTTAGGGATTTTCATACCTCTGGTCGCTTAACTTCCTGCTCTTGGATTTGCCGTTCCCCAGTTTGCCCATCTTCTCCTTTGGCCTGACTTCACTCTGGTAGACACGCCCTCCGATGATCCTGGTAGAAGGGGGTCAAAGGTCAGGCTTTAGAATGCCACCCATATTCATTACTACTATTGTCAGAGATTAACTTGGATTTTAATGGACAAAGGAGGCCAACATGCTGTCAGGGTCTATTTAGAGGCCTCCATGCTCCACATGAATGAACAGATCTGCTCTCGTTGTGTTACCAGTCTTATAGAAATCAACCCTTTCTCCTCCCCCTCCTAAAATCTCCATGGTAACTGAGCCAAGAGGTGCAACTGAGCCACTAGGTCCCGTTTTGGATCACAGATTTCAGGCTCGGACTGGGAACGATTTTTGGCCCTGGCACTTTTTCATCAACACTGGCCGATTTATGGAAGTCTAGGTCTACAACATAAGCCAGAGTGTTGTCAAAAACACCAACATAAAACAATACAATATAGAGGCAGACCGGCAGTTCTTCAAGAATGAATATATTAAAAGCTCAGTGGTGTCTAAGTATTTACTCCCAGTCTAGGTGGCATGTTGGCAATGAAATGGAATAATGTAAACAGATGCAAAACCCCATCGTGCACCACAACATCCATCCATCCATTTTCTAACATGCTTACTTCCAAGCGGGGTACCGCACCTCTCGTCAATGGGCGAGAGGTGGGGTACCCCCTGGACGGGTTGCAAGTCCATCGCAGAGTAACACAGAGACAAACAGGACTAACAACCATTAATGCACACACTCACACCTAAGGAGAATCTAGAGAAGCCAATTAACCTAATAGTCAGGTTTTTTGACTGTGTGAGGAAGCCGGAGTACCCGGAGAGAACCAACGCATGTTTAGGGAGAACAAGCAAACTCCATGCAGAATCGAATCGTACCCAGAACCTTCTTGCCGCAAGGCAGCAGCGCTACCTACTGCACCACTGAGCAGCCGCACCACAACATATTTGCAAAATATTCAAGGATAAAGTCACCAAATATAACAGGAACATAGTAGTTTGGTGTAAAGAAAGCATTTTAGTTTTACTATAATTTAGCTTGTTGCAAGGACTTTACAGTTTGAAGAAATAGAAAATGACACCATATGCCAACCGTCACAAGGATGTACATGACAAGGAAGGGCTAAATAAACTTCATGCATCATTTAGTTGGTTAACATTGTATTACTTCTTGAACTCCTTGAGTTATTTACTGTGACAGGTAGGTGCTTCGGCCGGGGAGTAAGTTTTGGGGCCGGTATGATATAGGGAGTAAATTTACATCGGGTAAATGCCCGATATCACAGATTACCAGCCTGACAGATTTCTAGGAATTAACAGGATGAATTCTTTTTAACTTCCTTCTAATGTGCAGAGGTGTCAAGTAAAGAAGTACAAATACTATGCTACTGTACTTAAGTACACTTTTTAGGTATCTATACTTTACTCCATTACCTATTTTTCTTCCTACTTCTAAGTTATACTCATTAGATTTTCACACAAGTATCTGTACTTTCTATTCCTTACATTTTTAAAACAAACGTTACTCGTTACTCTTGGCTTCGGTTTAATGTTTATAAATATTTATTTCCCGTCATGTGCTCCATCCAATGCAGATCATTGGCTCCATCCACATCTAGTGAAAACTAGTGTCATTAGATGAGTCATATAACGCAAACACTCATTGGTTAGCTAAAGGAAATCATCAGAACCAAGCAGGTGTTCTTCAAACTGCAGACGTGAATTGTCTATGCCATGCTACAATGTGGGATTCAGAAAAAGATGTTGAAATGTCTGAAAGGTCGGACACAGGCGAGAGCGTATCTGGAGACAGAGACCAACAAGACCTCCCTCATCCTTGGCTCTATCTCAAAGAATTTTTAGAAACAGTCGAAAAATTGAGCTTTCAATTCATATAGCGGCATCTGGCTGTTTATTTTAAAGGTTACTTTATACTTTTATACTTTAGTAGTTTTTGGAGCACATACTTTTTCACTTTTACTTTAGTAAAGAGGTCAAGTTGATACTTCAACTTTTACCAGAGTGTTTTTAAACTGCAGTATCTATACTTCTACTTAAGTAACAAATGTGTGAACTTTTGACACCACTGCTAATGTGAAATGAATCTAGATCCAGCTGCTGGTGTGTAATTACAGATTAAGTTGTCCTATAACTGTTGCTGAAGATTCTAAGTCATCCAGGTCATAGTCATGCAAAAAAAAAAAAACAGTTTAAAACAAACCACTGGACTTTGTTTTCCAAGTTTGAAGACGTTTGGCTTCCCAAACAGAAAGCTTTCTCAATTCAAAGGTGGTTTGAAAGGAAAGCATTTTCAATAAGAGAGAAAAAGCAACCTTAAACAGAGGGGGGTGGACTCAGGTTTCAGCTCATAACCTACTGTAGAATGCATCGCTAGAGTTGATTCCTTCCCGGTATCATCTCAATCCTCATCGCCATGCAGGTGGTCAAAACATCACTCCCATAAGCCAGGTCAATATCGATCCTAATGACTCCCCATTGCAGAGGCATGGGCCGGTTTCAGGTTAATTTGCAGTCAAACAACGACCTCAACAACTCCCCTTTACTAAGGAGTGGACCTGTTTTTGGTTCAATCTGCATGTTTTCTAAGCCCTAACAAGGATTATATTGGGCTATACTATATAAAGCCTGGAGCTCAATGCTAATCCAGACATTTTTAATTGAGAATGCTTCCTGGATGGGAAGCGAAAAGTCTTCAATGTTGGAAAACAAAGTCCAGTGGTTTGTTTTTAACTTTTTTTTCCTATTATTATTGTTCTAGATCCTCATAACTGGTAGATTTGGGAGATTCTGAGTTGATTTCCATGGCTTCCCTTTGAAAAAGAAGCTAAACCATAAAAGTTAAAGAAATCTGACTTTTCATAAACATGAAAAAATCCTCCTTCAGCTCCCAAAGAGCTCAGGCCAGCATTAGGCCAGAGGCAGAACCAGGCCAAGAATGCAGTCATCCCTCCCTCGCTTCCCCAGGCACACCCTGCACATCATGCAGTGATGATGGCGTAAAGGATTGGAAATGAGAGGAAGAGCAGCACATTCTGAAAACCTGTTTCTCTGATCAGGCCTCTAACTGGACACCAAGGTTAAAACTCTGATGTTTTTCTCCATTTTCTCTCTACATTCGATCTTTATGTGAAGCTAATGTGTTCTGCTCATACATGGTGAAGTTGGAGATAAAAGCCCCAGTGGGGATCCTAAACTGGAAGGTGCCTTCAGCAGCAGCAGCGTGTCGGTTCAGCATGGAGCAGTACACGGCGGTGAAAGCGTAGCGGGAGATGATGGTGGTCTTGATGGACAGCTCTTGGATGTAAGGCTTATTCTCCTGAAAGAGAAAAACATGAGAATGCCCCCAGCAAGGAACCAGTTCATTCATTAACTGGGATTTGATGACAGACCAGGACAAAGCAGCTCTTAACTGGGACTTGGAAAGACGCAGATTAGTGGTTTTCAACATTTCTGCAAATGAAACTCCCTGTCAGCGCTCTGTGGCTCCTCCTTCCTCTGCAGCTGTTTTGTCTGAGTCAGACTGGACATTGAGGGCATCAAGGATCATCAGGCCTACATTTTTTTTCACAGATTCTCAATAAGATTTAGGACTGGACTTTGACTAGGCCATTCTAAGCCATGTTTGTCAGGGTTCTGCCTTCTGTTTAAGTTTATTTTTAGTTTCTTTTTTATCTGTAGTTGTTTTCTAGCAGTGATTAGTTCTTCAGTTACTTTCAGTTTGCCCCTTGTGCTTGTTTCCTTTCCCCTTGGCTTCCTTCTTGTTAGTTCCACTCACACCTCCTTCATATTCAGCTCGTTTGCCCTTCCTCTGTTCTGTTCCCCATATATACACCACCTCTGCAGTCACTTAGTGATGGTTTCATGTTGTTTTTTTGCTCCGTCGTTTCCTGGCTCCTCATCAGTGTTTTCCCTGATGTTGTCTTAGATTTTGTTTTTTTGTATTTTTGCCTCAGTTGCCTACGAATCCTATATTAAATCTACAAAACTTACATCTGCCTCCCCATCTCTGCATTTGGGTCCTCAAAATCACCCAACCCTGACACTGCTGGATAATCAGACTGGCTCTCCTGCTAGAAGCTGAACCTCCAGCCCAGTCTCAGTTCTAACCTTTCTGTTCCTGCTGAAGCAAAGCCTTCCCCACACCCGGATGCTCAGGGGGATTTACTATTAAGCAATTCCAGCCCCCCCTTCAGTGTCCACCACATTGGATCAGTCCATTTGCTGCACATAGATCGATCAAAAACAGACAGCAGCCAACCATTTGAAAACAGTTTGAAAAGCAGTGTTGCCAACTTAGCACTTTTGTCGACTTTTCAGACCCCTCTAGCACTTTTATTTTTTATAAAGCGCCTAGTGCAAATCTTGCGACTTTTTTCTGCTACTGCAGACTTTGGAGACAACATCTAAAAGCAGCGAACTCTGCTCTCCAGAGCAAGTAGATTGGTAACTGCTCTCCTCTATCTTGTCTGCTGTCATGATTCATGCAGCTATTATTTCATCCAAATGAAAAATGGAGAACAGAGAAGCAGATCATGGCTTGTCTACAGTGAAAAGAAGGACTGGGTTATTTACTTTGGCCTTTTTGGAAACACAGGAAGGAGCAATCAGCTAAGTGAGCTTAGTGCTTGGAAAAAATCTTTCATTCCTTTAGAGACAGCATGAAAAGTCAGCTGAGTAGGCTACAAAACATAGAGAGGAAAAAAAGAAGAAAAGGGACAAGAAGAGAGGGACACAACCTAGAACAGATAATGGATGTCTATTCTATAAAAATTCTATATCAATATAATGGGTGTGTTTTATGTGTTGTCTTCTCAGTTCAGAGGCCCCCAACCTGTCTCTGCCTAGGGCCCCACATTTCCTAAATCCGCCCCTGCCAGCAGGTCTGCTGTTACAGACTCTTTTGCCAACAGTGACAAACATCTACAAGAGTTAACACAACTTTTCATTTCCATGTGGATCCATATAGTTTTCCATCATATTCTTTAATGTTTTCAAACATCTGGAGAGTTTAGATTACTATGGCAACACCTTAGATCTTACTTATTAAAACAAACAAACACAAAGAGGAAGATCAGCAGTGCTGAGCCCATCATCTCCATGATTTCTCAGCTGCACATGTTAGAGGTTCTGCTGTCTGGAGCGGATCTCCTGCGCGTCACGCCCAAATGCGCGCAAGTTTGGATCAATCCCCCTCCTGCTCTAGAATAAACGCTTTATAACAATCCGCTGTTTTCTTTAATGTGAGCAGAAGGTGAGGACCTACCTTCGTCAGAATGGTTTTCACCTGCCGAGGGATCCTGCGAGGCGCCTGCAGAGACAAACATGCAGCATAAGGAATCCTAAAGAGCCCGCAGAGCGCCTCTCCAACCTGCTCATCCTTACTGTCTCATGGTCCGGGTCCTCCTCCAGCTGGGCCTGGTTCTGGAAGCTCGGACCGAAGCTGAGCAGCAGAAGCAGCAGCAGCAGCATCTTTCAGCCTGTCTGCAGTTATAGTTGTTAGTAGTGCGCCATAACGTTCCCAGTCCAGATATGAGCGCGCAGGAGGCTGAGCAGGGGGAGAAAATCCGCCCACAGACCGGAGGCTCATCCTCAGGGAGAGTCACTTTAAACCAGAAAGAAACTCTCCGCTTTCTCCTCCTGGTCAACATCCTGCAGTAAAAACCCTGAACTCTTTCTCCACGAAAACTTCATTATTTTCTCAGCTTTTTAATTTTCCAAAAATCTTCATGTGCTATTTTTTTCACCAGGGGGCATCAGAAAACAACATGGAACAAAGACTAAAGCCTATGTACGGAAGAGGATTAGGGCCACTGGAAAAAAAAAGAAAAAAAAGTTAACTGATTTTTACATTTTATTTCAGTTTAGTATGGGGAAAAAAAGTCAGAATTCTGACTTTAATCTCAGAATTCTGACTTTAATCTCAGAATTCTGACTTTAATCTCAGAGTTCTGACTTTAATCTCAAAAATCTGACTTTAATCTCAGAGTTCTGACTTTAATCTCAGAAATCTGACTTTAATCTCAGAGGTCTGACTTTAATCTCAAAAATCTGACTTTAATCTCAGAGTTCTGACTTTAATCTCAGAATTCTGACTTTAATCTCAGAATTCTGACTTAAATCTCAGAATTCTGACTTTAATCCCGGAGTTCTGACTTTAATCTCAGAAATCTGACTTTTTTCTCAATTCTGACTTTTTTCTCAGAATTCTGACTTTAATCTCAGAATTCTGACTTTAATCTCAGAATTCTGACTTAAATCTCAGAATTCTGACTTTAATCCCGGAGTTCTGACTTTAATCTCAGAAATCTGACTTTTTTCTCAATTCTGACTTTTTTCTCAGAATTCTGACTTTAATCTCAGAATTCTGACTTGTTTCTCAATTCTGACTTTATTCTCAGAGGTATGACTTTAATCTAAGAATTATGACTTTAATCTCAGAAATCTGACTTTTTTCTCAATTCTGACTTTAATCTCACAGGTCTGACTTTAACCTCAGAATTCTGACTTTAATCTCACAGGTCTGACTTTAATCTCAGAGGTCTGACTTTAATCTCAGAATTCTGACTTTAATCTCAGAATTCTGACTTTTTTCTCAATTCTGACTTTTATCTTAGAGGTCTGACTTTAATCTAAGAATTATGACTTTAATCTCAGAAATCTGACTTTTTTCTCAATTCTGACTTTAATCTCAGAGGTCTGACTTTAATCTCAGAATTCTGACTTTAATCTCAGAGGTCTGACTTTAATCTCAGAATTCTGACTTTAATCTCAGAATTCTGACTTTAATCTCAGAGTTCTGACTTTAATCTAAAAAATCTGACTTAAATCTCAGAGTTCTGACTTTAATCTCAGAAATCTGACTTTAATCTCAGAATTCTGACTTTAATCTCAGATATCTGACTTTAATCTCAGAGTTCTGACTTTAATCTCAGAATTCTGACTTTAATCTCAGAATTCTGACTTAAATCTCAGAATTCTGACTTTAATCCCGGAGTTCTGACTTTAATCTCAGAAATCTGACTTTTTTCTCAATTCTGACTTTTTTCTCAGAATTCTGACTTTAATCTCAGAATTCTGACTTGTTTCTCAATTCTGACTTTAATCTCAGAGGTCTGACTTTAATCTAAGAATTATGACTTTAATCTCAGAAATCTGACTTTTTTCTCAATTCTGACTTTAATCTCACAGGTCTGACTTTAACCTCAGAATTCTGACTTTAATCTCACAGGTCTGACTTTAATCTCAGAATTCTGACTTTAATCTCAGAATTCTGACTTTAATCTCAGAATTCTGACTTTAATCTCAGAGGTCTGACTTTAATCTCAGAATTCTGACTTTAATCTCAGAATTCTGACTTTTTTCTCAGAATTCTGACTTTAATCTCAGAATTCTGACTTTTTTTCTCAATTCTGACTTTAATCTTAGAGGTCTGACTTTAATCTAAGAATTATGACTTTAATCTCAGAAATCTGACTTTTTTCTCAATTCTGACTTTAATCTCAGAGGTCTGACTTTAATCTCAGAATTCTGACTTTAATCTCAGAATTCTGACTTTTTTCTCAATTCTGACTTTAATCTTAGAGGTCTGACTTTAATCTAAGAATTATGACTTTAATCTCAGAAATCTGACTTTTTTCTCAATTCTGACTTTAATCTCAGAGGTCTGACTTTAATCTCAGAATTCTGACTTTAATCTCAGAGGTCTGACTTTAATCTCAGAATTCTGACTTTAATCTCAGAATTCTGACTTTAATCTCAGAGGTCTGACTTTAATCTCAGAGGTCTGACTTTAATCTCAGAATTCTGACTTTAATCTCAGAGGTCTGACTTTAATCTCAGAATTCTGACTTTAATCTCAGAATTCTGACTTTTTTCTCAGAATTCTGACTTTAATCTCAGAATTCTGACTTTTTTTCTCAATTCTGACTTTAATCTTAGAGGTCTGACTTTAATCTAAGAATTATGACTTTAATCTCAGAAATCTGACTTTTTTCTCAATTCTGACTTTAATCTCAGAGGTCTGACTTTAATCTCAGAATTCTGACTTTAATCTCAGAGGTCTGACTTTAATCTCAGAATTCTGACTTTTTTCTCAATTCTGACTTTAATCTTAGAGGTCTGACTTTAATCTAAGAATTATGACTTTAATCTCAGAAATCTGACTTTTTTCTCAATTCTGACTTTAATCTCAGACGTATGACTTTAATCTCAGAATTCTGACTTTAATCTCAGAGGTCTGACTTTAATCTCAGAATTCTGACTTTTTTCTCAATTCTGACTTTAATCTTAGAGGTCTGACTTTAATCTAAGAATTATGACTTTAATCTCAGAAATCTGACTTTTTTCTCAATTCTGACTTTAATCTCAGAGGTCTGACTTTAATCTCAGAATTCTGACTTTAATCTCAGAGGTCTGACTTTAATCTCAGAATTCTGACTTTAATCTCAGAATTCTGACTTTAATCTCAAAATTCTGACTTTTTTCGCAGAATTCTGACTTTAATCTCAGAATTCTGACTTTAATCTCAGAATTCTGACTTTTTTCTCAGAATTCTGACTTTAATCTCAGAATTTTGGATCTTAATGTAGATGGGCACCATGAAGGAAGAGATGTGGGAGCAATCCGCTTCACTGACAAAGATGCGAGTTGTTTGAGGTGGCCAGTGAATTAGGCAACTTTTTACGTCCCCGAGGGGTCCCCTCATTAATGGAGGAGCAGAAGGTCATTAAAACAAAAGAGCTAGTCTCTAAAACAGACATGGCTATGGCTTGATGCTAACATGTTTGTTAGCTGTCAGAATTCTGAGAAAAAAGTCAGAATTCTGAGATTAAAGTCAGAATTCTGAGATTAAAGTTATAATTCTGCGAAAAAAGTCAGAATTCTAAGATTAAAGTCAGAATTCTGAGATTAAAGTCAGAATTCTGCGAAAAAAGTCAGAATTTTGAGATTAAAGTCAGAATTCTGACTTTTTTCCCATATTAAACTGAAATAAAATCTAAAAATCAGTTACCTTTTTTTTTTTCAGTGGCCCTAATCCTCTTCCGTACCTATGTTCTTAAAGTTGTTGAGGGAAATTAAATCTTCATTGATTTAATTTTATGTCGGTTTGGGTTTGTCTTGATTTTAAAACTTGTTCTTAAAGTTTTGCCAACTTTGCTTAATTCGGCATAAGTTGCTTCCAGAGCCTTAAACCTATTTTGGACCAATTCTTACCGAGTCTTCTTGTATCCATTTATTGTTCTTTATCAACCACTATTGTTCTTTGCTTTTATATACATATATTTTTTTAAACAAATTGTAGATATATAGAGTGATGGAGATATAACCTGCTCTTCATTTGATTATTATCACCAGAAGACCCTGCAGTTCACCCTGACTGTTCTGATCGCTCCACTGTTTCATGAAATTCCAGATTAATTTTTTGTTTTTAATATTACAGAATAATTCAAAATGCCTGTCAATGAGATTTGCTTCTCAAACACTTAATCTTATAAATAAAGTTAGAATAATATTGAAAATGTGAGCACACAATCCTATGAGTCGCCTCCTGCTGGTAAAAATAAAATATAATTTGTCAAAAATCACTTATCTCTAAAATTTGTAATGAACTTTTGTCTTTTGACTGCTCGCTAATAACTAATGTTAGGGATGCCTGGAACGAGGATGACTGGTGGAATGCTGCTCTTAAGACAATTCCAAAAGCTCATTCTGTGCTCATCTGACACTTATACAGTTCAAAGCAACCGTTTAGACTCCATTTTTCAGAAGCCCGACTCTCCCAAATGTATCCCAGTATTGCAGACAAATGCAACAAATGTTATGCCTCACCATGCAATTTATCCCATATGTTGTATTCTTGTCTACTACTTTCCCGCTTCTGGTCGGATTACTTTGATACCATGTCAAAAATACTTTTTGTGGTCATAAAAGTCTCGACCAACATTGCCATATTTGGGCTCCCAGAGGACCATAACAGGTGAGGCTCTAACCAGTTAGATATTTTAGCATTTACTTCATTACTGGCAAGAATGTTGCCTTCTTTTGCACTGGATGTTGACTAAAGCTCCTTCTAGCTCCCACTGGCTCAATGACACCATGTCTTGAGCTATCTCTATAGTTATGCTGCTATAGGCTTTGACTGCCAGAGGACATAGGGACCCCCATTTCCTCATTCTGCTTCATTCTATCTCTATTCTCCCACTCTGCAGAATCTATTAGTTCAATCTCTAACGTTCTGCTCTCTCTGCTTTTTCTCATAGTAGCTTCATCTGGTTCTGTTCCTGTTTGGCTGTGACTCCATCCTGGAGAGAAATATCAGCTGTGCTGCTGCCATCAACACCTTTACTAATAGATGATTGAGATTGGTCAGTTTTTCAGAGTAGTCCTGTTTCTCTGACTGTGACTGGCTGGACACTGACTGGTGTTTCCTGGACGGGGCCGCCTGTAGAGCTGGTTTACAGTTGCCTTTTGTATCTCTGCTTCTGTCTCCTTGAACCCCAGTCGGCCTCAGCAGATGGCCGCTCAAACTGTGTCTGGTTCTGTTGGAGGTTTCTTCCTGTTAATAGAGAGTTTTTCCTCTCCACTGTCGCTACAAGCATGCTTAGTTTGAGGGACGGCCTTAAGTCAATGAGTCCATGCAATGAACTGGTTTTCC